TAACAACTAGAGTGATAGGTGTGTGAATATTCATAAACCTTCCAGAGATAATAGATACAGTATGGCTAGTCATAAAATCAAGAACACCACACCAGAAATGTCTACCCAGAAACCCACTATTGGGAAAAACTGGGTGTCATCACTCTAACTAGGCAATCCACCAAGTCAAGAAGATTCTTACAGAAAAAGTAATCACAAGCTTAACCAATCATAGGTCTTTTAGGAAAAGAGTACTACCTCCCTGTGCAACCTTATCCAAACTTAGTTATTCAAAATGTACGAGAAAATTTGGGAATATTTCCAATATTCGTCCACATTATAGAGGTTTTGCAGCATCTCGAGATATCCTCACTGGTTCCTTTGGAACAATAAACAACGTGGTGTACTCCATCAATGCACGTGAAGGTGAAGACTTATTGCTCCCTAATGAGTATCGCGGCTTATTAGCGGATGAGCTTGTCTCAATTCACGTTGTAGCTTGTTGGCAATTGGCAAACGCGTGGTGTCTATTATCAGTAATGTGCAATTCAAAATATGTTCTTGAACCAAAGCTCATACATAAAGTTGACAATGGATAGATATTGGTGTTCACTCGTAGTGTTGACTGTTCATTAGAACAGTGGTGGGATGATAATGGTCCCTTGGTGGATTCCCTGGGATTTATAATTCCTCAGCTACGATTCGTTTGTAGGTGAGAGTGTAACTAAATATTTTTTCTAAATAGTTGTTTTTTATGTCCTTATTTTGTTTTTGTGTGCTTTTTTCAGGGATATTTCTGCAACTTTGCTGCATGTGGTGGATCATATAGGAAGGTGTCATGGTAACGTAACCTGTCATTCTATCAAAACGATTGATGGGAACGCTTTTGTCGTGTCCTTTGGCTGATTGGATGAGCACGAGTATAGGGACACCAGAACAATCTGAAGAGGTGACCTATTTCATCCAAGGCCTCAATCCAAAGAGACGATTTCTTGGAAAAAGTTTTAGTCCAGTATCGAGCTGTGCCAACAAATGTCTGGTAGTCTTTAAGATACTGCAATATCGACACAAGGAAACTAACTTAGAATGAGAGAAAATTTTGATAAATAAATACATAAAGGCATCATGAAGACAAGACTAGCAGCAATCAGTTGTAAGTCTGATACTCACTAAGTACAGCACATTCACAAAACATAATCGAACATCAATTGAAAGACAAAATTTTTGCTAAAGCAGAATCATTGGATAAAGGACAAAAGCAGGTTTAGACCTGTTGTGCCACCATAGCATCTTGAGGATCATATGGTTGAGGAGCAGAAAGTAATGCTTATACAGAAAGAGGTGTTGTTTTCAATGTGAGAACTGGGCTCCATTGGTCCTTCAAAATATCCAGACAAATTTCCCCGCTTTGACTGCTGATATTAGGATGTCTTTAACAGGTGACATACATACACAGTAGAAAATTCTACATTAATGATCCCAATGCATATCATTTCTTCAAGTATACAAATTCATCTGCCCCCAGTTTCTTAGACACTGTCACCGATTTATTTTATCTCTATTTTACAAACTATTATTACTAACAATATAAAGTTCAAGAAACAGGGTATAGTAAGAACCAAATTATCGACCTCTAAGCCAAATCAAGAAAGTTCCATCAATGTCTCGATCTTGCAGTCCACGATGATCAAGGACTACTAAATACTTGAATTCAACCCACGGTACATGCAATGGGTTGTCAGTTTACTTCAATCTCCCTTGACTACATAAAGACTTAAAAGGAAGAAAATTCTAATTCCCAATGGTGCTAAAATACTCTTATATGCAATATAATCGAAACTACTATGTATGACAACATCCCATAATATGCCTCATTGTATGGTCAATGAACCAGCAGAGTCCAAAAAAAAAAAACAAGAGGAAGAGATATGAACAGAAATTCGCCCTACCAAACTTTGGTCGTAAACCGCATTTTGGGAGGATCAAAGGGGTATTCATCTGCACGAAGAAATCCAACAGTTGACAGCCATGTCAGTAGGAATTTTAACATACTCCATCAGCTTCTTCACCACATGGCACCGCAACTCAGCTCCGTATCATCACTGATGAATGAAATATAGATTCTAGAATGAAATGGTCGATTTCTTCAAGAAACCATCCTCTTGAAGAAATCAACAGAGAATCTACTCTAGCTAGGAAGATGAAGTGTTTAAACTAAACCCTAGATGCAGATTTCGAAAACCAATTTTCAAAATCTCATAATGAAAATCCAAATCTCACCAAGTCGAAATTGCAAAGTAAAAGTTTTGCTCTAAAAAATTCTCAATGGGTGAAGTGGATTTCGAAGATCAAAGCAGATTTTAAAAACCAATTTTAAAACCTCATAATGAAAAATGGAGACTTTCCTCAGAGAAGAAGATGCAAAGTAAAAACAAAACTATCATAATCCACATGGCGGCTAATAATTGAAGCTATAATGAGACAAAAATCGTTAGGACAAAAACCCTACACCTGGCCAAGTGTGAGTCTCTCGTGAGAATTTAAATGAGTTGGCAATGAGCTAGTAGTAACGGATGACTAGTCATCACGTTGACTCGATATGTCCTAATATATATGCAATGCATGATTTACCTTTGAAGATCTTAATTGAATCGTGTCATTGTTGATCTCAGCCAGGGAGCCACCTTGCCATGGCCAGAGCCCTGTATTGGATTATATAGTTGCAGCTCATATTTTGAAGAATAAGATACCATATAACCATTGTAGTGGCCTCCCAAATGCAATTACTATTGGGTGGTTGAATGCAAACCCTATACTTCATAATAATTTCATTGACAATTATATATCACATGTTTATAGTCACAATTAATATAGAGTAAAGAAAGGAAAGTAACGCCATATTAGCCGATTAATCCTCCAATAATACTCTAAATCAATGCCCTTTCCATAGTCTATTATTTATTGTTGCTTGTTGCAGGATTGAATTTTTCTTTTAAAAAACTTGTGTTATGGTTTCTCCCCCCCCCCCCCC